CATTGAGGTGGGTGCTTGAGAACGCCCTTGGATTTTTACCCTTTTTTTCAAACTTTAAGCGAAGATTTCTCAACGACCTTCTAACTAATTCGATAAAAAGTTTTTTATTTTAATTCTATTAACTTGTGGAATTAAAATAAAACCATTTACTGAAATTAGTTAAGTATTCATCGACTTAAAGTTTTACTAACTGCTAATGAAACAATCATTCGTTAAGTAAAAAGCTCCCAGCTAATAATTTTACTATTACCAGCATAGCTAACCTGACCAAAATATTTTTCAAGGTTCGGATAAATGTTCATTGTTCTCTCTTTTGGAAACCATCACATGAATGGTTGAGCGTCGCACGCATTTTACAAATTTAGTATGATAATCTTCTGCGCTAAGACAAATTACGTGATAAATAAATACATTCATTCAATTAATTTTTCATTTCATAAACTCTACTATGGATGAGAATACTAGTGATCATGAAATAGAAGAAAATGAAGAAAATGGTTGCGAATATTTATTATGTTAATTTGTTGTGCTAATTTATTTCATTTTCACTATAAATTTAGGCATATATACTCATTATTTTTTTTGATATCTTCGAAAAAGATAATTGGTATAGCGAAAGTCCCATATTCAAGCGAAATAAAAATTGAACGTATAACTAATAACGATCAATGGCTCCCTTCAACACAAAATTCACCCATTTCGTTGATTTTACGTCCCGATATGGGTGCAGTTGCTATCTCAGTGGGTGAACACGAAATTCATCTATTCTTTAGAGATATCCGATATACAAAATTAACCAAATTTGGAGAAATAACGATAAATATGAATCGAGGGTATGAAAGAAGAGTAAGTAATGATAAAAATAATAACTATACACTACTTATTGAAAACTTATGAGTCATAATTAAATTGTCATGAACTTATATTATTACAGTATTACAAAACGAATAAAGATGGGCGATTATATTTACTTAATAACAATCCTTTTACAGACATTTTTGACGATGCTGTTAGACTTACGTTCACTCCGACTAAAGGTGTTAGTGCTACGTTTTGTCAAGACTTTGTAGATTGTTTGTGCGATCAACTGCACAAGGAACGGCAGCGTCAAAATAAACAAAACCAGGTAAATGTGGAACAAATGATCATTGGGAATTGATATTTCCATATCCTTTTTTGATAATGCCACACCCGTGTAGATATAGTGAGGGGCACAGGGTTCTTGGGCATGCCTTTAAGCTAAAAGGCATGCCTTTTTATTTGATATTTAAAAAATATATATTAAGTGAAGATGCCTTTTGATTGGTTAATATTATAATATTAACTGCTTCTACAAAAATAATATTGGTATATAT